TTATTCGTGACATTTTATCACAAATATTTATAATAAATTAATATTATTACTAAATGTTTAAAATTAAGATTGTTGTTATTATTTTTTCTGTAAAAACATTTTATTCTTTATAAAATTAACATATTTGATAATTAACTTTGTTTCTTATAAGATTAGTTATAAGTCGCGTTAATTTTTACATTTTGTAAAATATTATAATTATTTATAAAAAGTAGTTTGTAATAGTGTTTTTACATAATAACAAATTTGTATATAATAACAAAATAATGAATTGTATACTGTTTGTATATTAAACTTGAATTTGTATACTAATTTATTATAAATTAATTAAGTATTTATAATAAAATACTTTTATTTTGATAAAAAACATACAAACGAAGTTTGAAAGTTATGTATAACTCGCTTTATGTTGTCACCCCATATGGTAACTTGAACTTTCCAATCTTTATTGTTTGTTAAAACTACTCGACAACGACAACTCGTTCAACTTCACCATTTTTAGTTTGGACTGTAATTTTACTATTGATTTGCTCTACCATACTGATAAAACATCTTAAAAATTTAAAAACATAAAAATTATACATATGAAAATTAATATTTTACATTTGTCATTAAAAAATAAGAAATTAATGAAAAATGAAATAAAATTTTTAATGTGTGTTTTATACCAATTTATTTTATATGACACTGCACATCAACTTATTTTATTATAAACCTTTTATCCTTAAACTATAAAAATTTTACAAGTTTTACAACAGAATTTCACAAATTTAACAAAAACAACTCTAAATTGGTAAAAAAATCTGTAATAAATCTATGGATAAAAGGTTAAATATTAAAAAGATAATTTTTTAATGCTTACACTGAACCATCATTAGGTAACATAACTTCGAAAAGTTCTCTCGGTGAGACATACAATGTTGGATTGTTACACAACTCACGGAAAATGTCTAATTCACTGTTCATTTTTGTGGTATTAACCTATAATTTTTAAATAAAAAATATATTACAAAATATAAATGTAATTTAAAATTTAAACGTATAAATATAAATTAAACTATTATCAAAGTAAAATAAAACAAACATAAATAAAACAAAGTAAAATATAAATGTATTATTTAAATAATACAAATTTTTAAACAAAAACAGTTTTTAAATGTATCTATATGTAAGATATATAATTTCTTAAATAATAGCAAAAGTTTATTTTTTTTTTAACTAAATCAATATATTATTGTATAATTGTACACATTTAATTATAAACAGATAGATAAAAAAATATTACGTAATATTTGAAATAATCAGATAAAGATATTGCTAAATAATTTATTTTTATGTAATATTAAGATAAAATATGTTAATTATATAAGTTTTTTATATTAATATGTTTGTCATTGTAGAATAATTTAAAAAATTATTACAAATTTTAGCACAAACCAAAAAATTGTTACACGATATTTTAAAATTAAAAAACTGAATATTTACATTAATTTTATATTTAAAACCATATATTATATATATTCAAATATTAAATTATGCTATCCAATTAAATTTACATAAAACTATATTTATAATATTTACTGTTTATTTTATTAAATGATATTATTTAATAATTGTGTATTTTAACTTTGTGGATAAGTTTGGATATTTCTTGAATATTCAGCAATATGAATACAACGATTCTATAATTTTAATAAAATAACACTATCACATAATATCACTATATATCATTACGTGTCATTACGTGACATTTCAAAATATATGAGCAACGATCATAGATTTTATACATATACCCATGATGTAAGAAGGACAAGATGAACCAACGCGCATACTGACAAAAGACTGACAAAAACCAGCCAGTCAAAATCCTGTCTAAAATGCACATATATAATAAAAGTATAAGTGTATAAGTGCTTTTTGCATTTTGGACAGGATTCTGATTAGTTAACCAAATATTGGCTACTGCGCATTTCTCAAGTTGGTTCACCTTATCTTCTAATCATGCACATATCTAGATAAGTAAAATTCGGTAAATTGATGGAATTAGAAAGTTCAATATCTTCTATCTTTTAAAGCGCATGCTCGAAATGATGTATTATAGATATGTCATGACAATTTCATATATATCGCGCAGTGTATATATCAGATAATATGTTTGCACAGTATAAGTCTTTAAAATCATGATGTAAGAAAACAAGGTGAACCAATGCGCATACTAGCAAAGCCATCCAATCAAAATCTTGTCCAAAATGCAGCGCGATATTCAAATGTCATTCAATGATATTCGCGAGTCATGCAGTCAGCAATATTGCTTTTTGCATTTTGGACAAAATTCTGATTAGTTAATCAAAAATTGGCTACTTCGCATCTCTCAAGTTATTTCACCTTTCTTTTTACATCATGTTTAAAATCATAATCAAAAATATAACAACAAACCTCTTTTATACTTGCTTCACTTAAGGTTATTTTACAATCTACATTAGTTGCAAATGCAGAGTCGCAAACATTGTGATCCAATCAGCGTTGAGTTAAGCCGGTTCTACATTAGTTGCAAGCCGATCGCAAATTTGTTGCAACAGTCAATCCGAAGCATTGATTTTTAAATGCAAGCTTCAGATTAGCTGTTGCAACAAGCTTGTGATCGACTTGCAACTAATGAACTGGCTTTAGCTTGACTGAATCGTAACGTTTGCGACGCTGCAATGCAACGCATGTGGAACGACCTTTATGTTATTTGCGACTGTCATGTGAATTTCGACATTTGACAAAAAATAAATAAATAAAAGTAAAAAGATTAAAAAAGAAAAAAATTAAAGTTAAGATGAAAGAAGTCACAATTTAAAAAAATTAATATTTAAAAAAGCTAATTAAAGAGAAGTATGTATCAAATTTATGTTGCGTGTAATGTTAAATGTGCTATATCCATTTCATCAATGTGTATTGTGTATTGCGCATATATAATGTAAAAAAAATATTTATCTTTTTATATATTTAAAGTGAGTTCTCGAAATTAGCTGGCTGTAAATAAAATTCTTTCACAAGTTGTCAAGAAAGAAAACGACAAGAATACGAGGGGAGAAAGAGAGAAAGAGAGAGAGAGAGAGAGAGAGAGAGAGAAGATAAAGAAATTAAAGAAGAAAAATAAAGAGAGAAGGGTATGTATATTTAATACTGTATGATATACATGTATTCAAATTGATATATTTAATATGGTTATATTTAAAATTAATTTATTTTATTTGAAATCTTCTGTCTCTTTACATCAGCTTTAACACAATTAAATATTTTAAATCAGTGATGTAAAATAATGAGTGATGTAAATTTCTAAGGCTCTATTTTGATTTGGATTTCAAAAGTTTGTTGTTTTCAAAATTTTAATTTTAGGTAATTTTAAAACGTCTTCTTTTCAGGTTATAACTTGAAAATATATCTGCGTGTTTGCTCACTCATTTTATTTTTCAGCTTTAATTCCATGAGATTATATTTTTCAAATGTTTTATTTTTTCTCAAAAGTAGAAGAAGGTAAATATCGAACATATTTAAAAGATCATGACATGTTTTTGAAAAGTCAAATCAAAATAGAATATTCATATATCATTTTATTCGTTGATGTACCGCTATGCACTTGCTGTAGCAAAGTTAAAGGGATATATTTAAAATAAAATTAATTGATTTTGAACATAACCATTGTAATTCTTTAAATATAAAATTAATCTCATTATTTAATTTAATGATCAGACTGCTTATGTAAAACGTTAATTTGTATATTATGTAATGTAAAATATGCTGTTAATGTCATTAATGTACTACTCATTTAATAAATATTTATAAAATAAATATTTATCCATTAGATAGTTCAAACAAAGTCTTGGAATGTGTTAACAATAATTTTCACGATTCGTCAGTTAGAGAGAAAAATAAAAAGAGAAAGAGAAAAAATATTTAAAAAAGAACAAAAGAAAAAAAAAAGAAAGAAGAGAAACAAAAAGGAAAGATAAGAAAGAGGGAAATAAAAAAGATACAATCTGATTATTAAATATAACTCCGATTTTATTTTTAAAGACTACAATGATCACATTCAAAATTAATTTATTATATTTAAAACATATCTTATTAACTTCGATAGCGACTGTTTGAGCTACTGATTAAAATGATTTGTGGAGATTATATTTTAATTCAGCTTTTAAAAAGCATAATCATGGGATTTCGAATGTCTTCAATGTTCTTAAAATATTTTTTTTAGTTTTAAATATTTTTGAAACATTCTTTTATCAATTTCTAACCCGAAAACGTGTTTATGTATTTGCTCATTCGCATTATTCTTTAGATCCCATAAGATTATTTTTTTCTTTCCAAAATTAAAGAAAATTATTTTAAAAATCAAGTTAGTATCTCCACGAGTAATTTTAATAATTCATTGTGTCGCTTGCTTAAAGCTAGAGAAATGTATTTTTAATAAAATAAGTTGACTTTAAATATCCCAGAATAAGATTAGCAATTTGCTGGTAGAATGACAATAAATTTTATCAGATTTTCACTACAGATTCATAGCAATCTGTGTCTGCAGTCAGCTTAAAATATGTTGACAGAGCCTGCTGATTAGCTATGTCAAAATTAGTAGCAGAATTTGAATAAAATTTGCTGTTCTGTAGATATTCAAATTGTAATGTAATTGCTATATTGAAAAAGCCTTAAAATGATATTTCTATCCTTTTTATTTTAAGAAATATCATTTTAAAGCTTTTCCAATATAGCAATTACTGTTAAAAGGTTTTACTAGATAGGGCAGTGGATGAAAGACACACTGGATAATTGTATATAATAATGTGATACACTTTATTCTGAACTCTTTGGCTTCTGTAACACGTGCGTGCGTATCTGTGTAAAGATCAAGTCTATAGTCATAGAATGTACGTTTATAAGACCGGGGTGAGTCTGTCCTTAGATGGCGTCGTTGTATTCTTGTCTCTTCTTAACACTCCTCCTCAATGACGTCATCTTCATTTGTTGGAAAAAAGCTCAAGTCCACTGGCTTCTGACAATCTGCGGAGTCTTATATTATGCAATGCTTTCGTTAGCATATCTGCGATCATATCTTCGCTCTTACAGTATTCAAGCAAGATTTTATTGCTCTTGCTTAAATCCCTTATGAAGTGATACTTCGTATCTATATGCTTCGTTCTTTTACTAAATTTCTGATTATCTGTGAGTTTTATGCAACTCTGGTTGTCCTCATACATTTTTACCGGTAGCTTTACATTTTCTTGAAAATCTTTCAATAGTTTCGTCAGCCATAACATTTCCTGACATCCATCACTCAGCGATATATTCCGCCTCTGCAGATGATAATGCCACGCATGATTGCTTTCTGCAAGCCCAGCTGATTGTGCTTCCATAATATTTAAATATGTATCCACTGGTCGACTTTCTGTCAGACCTAGATTCCGCCCAGCTTGCATCTGCGTAGCCGATTAGTCCTTTTTCCTTTTGGTTATTATTTCCCAATTTAAGTTTATAATCCACCGTGTGCTTTAAA